ATAAAAAAAATTTTATCTTACATCAGTATTTAGTGTTAAATTGGTTAACGTGATTACGTTATTGTGGGAACCAATCAGATTTTACATGGTGCGAACTTTGACCATTAAAACTTGCAAGGGCGTTTTTAATAAGGGTCAAAATTTAGTTTTTGCATAATAAAAAATTCTTCCGCTGCTTCAACTTTTTTATCCATTGAAGTTCCATTTCATCAATCAATTTCTTTCCCACTTCACTTGAAGATAAGTTCTTTTTTGTAAAAAAGGATTAACATTTTTGCATGGACAGTTCTAAAAGAGAGAATATGCGATTGGATGATATTGATCAGAGAATAAGAGGTGTTACTTTGACTGCATAAAAAAAAAATTTTTTTATCAAATATCAGTCAGTATTTAGTGTTAAATTGGATAACGTGATTACGTTGTTGTGGGAACCAATCAGATTTTACGTGGCGCGGGCTTTGACCATTAAACTTGCAAGGGCATTTTTAACAAGGATTAAATTTAGTTTTGTGTAATAAAACTTTACTTCGGCTGCTTCAACTTTTTTATCCATTGAAGTTCCATTTCATCAATCAATTTCTTTCCCACTCACTTGAAGATAAGTACCATACTAAATCTTTATAGGGAAACTCCAACTCCACCACCTCGATCATTGACTCAAAATAATAATCAACCACTCCAACCAACTTCATCACCGGATTTACCACATCAAGAACACCAAGAACACCAAGCCATAATATACCTTGAACATATTGGATGGTGGCCAGGATGTCGTCCAATGGTAACTCTGTCTATAATCAATTCATTTTATTTTTTTTTATTGGAAATGATTTTGAAGAATATCTAAAAGTTGATGGATCAGGGAATCTGCAAAATATCAAGAACCTTTATTGATCGAGCATATGTATGTATAATTTATAATATACAATATAGTTTTTTTCTTTATGTTATGTATAAATTATAAAAATCTTTATTTTTAATAAAGAAAAAATATGCAGAAGCAAGAAAAATGCATTTGCTCGATCAATCAATCTCAATATTAAATGAGCATATTTGCATGACTTTGCTGCCAACTCTCACTGAATAAATAGATTGATACTTCTGAGGATCAGTAGGCCCAGATGTGCATCATAATTTTATGGAGAAATCTCTCATGGGCCATTTTCATCCCAACAAATACATTAATGGTGGTGATTAAGACTTTTAAAATTATAAAGATGGAATTGATTGAATTAGACACAAATATATTAATTTGATATAGAGGTACATTTTTACTTGATAGGGTATAAGCTATAATTGGGATGCATGCATGAATACACATGCAATTTTGACAATTTTTTTAATGATTTAAATAAATTAATTGGGATAGATAGTAATGAAATTTGGAGCAATTGCAGAAATTTCAATGAAATAAGGATCAATATATCCATTTGATTTTAATTCTTTTATTTATCAGTAAAATAACTCCAAAGCAAATTGTAAAGAATTTCAGCACTTTTTATAGCAGTGAAGCAAAGTCATACAATAGTCATTGCATTTCGTCTAGAGCTGATCAATCCCATGATTATCGTATTCATAAATATCTCAATCATCATCTTCACTAAAAAAGAACAATAACATAATAATATATAGATTTATATATAGTTATTTCCAACACAAATACTTTTAAAAAAAAAAATATTATAAAAATATATTAATCTATATTGATAATTAGGCTTCATCCAATAACAAAAGATAGAAGAACACTGTCAGAACATAGTGACTTTTTCTAAAAAATGTTCTTACAAAGAGGTGTCCTTATATAGAGGTATTTTTCTATAAGCTTAATAGTAATTGGTTTTCAAGATATGTGTTCTTATGTTCGGAGTTGGCAGAACTTATTTTGAGAATATTAGAAATCATCTAATAAACAGGTCTTCTGTCAAAAATTCATGGTAATATTAAAAGGATGCCTTCATGGAAAACTAAGATGATGATTGACATAGATGTTGCAGAAGTAGTAAAGAATTTTCTAGAAAATTATGCAGAAGTCCATGATTACCAAGTCCAGGAAGATATATCAATAGAATAACTCAGTCAATTGTATTCTTACCAGCTGAAATAAATTAGTGCATAGAGATTTTCTAGCTGGTCTAGAAGAAATATAGCAAATTGAAATCCTTAAAGTATGATGCATTCAGAAAATTATCAATCGACACCAGAGATTCAAATTATGAGTCTCAGGACTGATTTGTATGATATTTGTCAACATTTTACAGATGGTTTACATTACAGTGCTCACCAAGAGGAAGAAGCTAAAGGATCACTTAAAATATTTAAAGAACATCTATCCAAGGCTAAATTAAAAGAAATTATTATAATAAAAACACTAAATTAGCAGAAGAACAAAGAAAATTAGTTAATCAAAATTATTCAAAGGGTAAAACACAATATTGCAGTATTGATGCTACTGCTCATTATAGTTATGATTGAGCCCAAAATGTTCATGTGCCACATTTAGATCAACAAGTAAGTAAAATCTATTACCTTAGTCTATGTAAATTTCATTTATTCAGTATTCAAGATGAAGCAGTAAGAGAACAAATTAATTATGTTCTTAATGAAGATGAAATTATAGGAAAAGGCCCCAATGGCACTCTTAGCATGATTTTTGATGGAATCAAGAAATTGAATAAAGATGAAAAGCATTACTTGTGGTAATGCTGGTGGGCAGAATAAAATAACACTACAATTTGATTTTATTTATATTTGGTAATTTGTGGTTATTATTAAAGTATTGAATTGAATTTCACAATTCCTGGACATACTAAATTCAAGTGTGATGGCAATTTTGGCATGATTAAAAACTCTATAGAAGAACAAGAGTAAATTGTCTGGATCATGTAGTAGATGTAATAAGAAAATCTAGTTCAGCTGGGTTAAATAAAGCACAGTGTTATGAAGGTGAAAAAGGATTTCAATATTTAGATATTAAAGCAATTTTGGGAATTTATTTTAAGAAATTACCAAGCATACAGAAATATCAACATTTTCTTTTTGAAGCATCTAACTTTGGTGTGGTCAAAGTTCAGGAAATTGCTAATGGACCTTTTATTGAATCCAATTTATTGAAAATCAAAAAAGCAGATATTTTTGAAGAAATTAGAGCTTTGCCTATTTTGGTGTTAACACCGCTTACTTTGGATTACAAAAGACAAGAATATCTTTACCAGAATATTCATCCATTTGTGAAAGACAAATATAAAGATATTACTTGCCCCAATCCAGCATAAAATGTAATTGAATAATTTTTATACTAAAATAAAATGACATAATTAACTATTATGTTTTTTAATCCTCACTGTCTTAATAACTAAAATAACTAGAAGACACAATAGTATTCCACAACCAACCATTCAATAAGTTTTCTCTCTCTTGTTCTTATTAAGTTGGTTTTCTAGTTGAGCCCTGGGAATTTTATTCCATTTTTGATAGTAAGTTTCAGGATTTCTTATTTTTTCTGCAACTCATTCATCTTAGAAATTGATTGTTTTTTTTGGGGTCTGAATTGCCTTCATCATTTTGCAATGTGAATCTAGGAAAAAGTAATATCAAAGATTCAGATATGGGATAAGTTTCACAATAACTTGAAGAATTTCTGTTTCTTTTCTTCATATTGTGTGGCCTTTTCATTAAGTTCACTTTTGATAGTAAAACCACCAGCAAATGATGCAGATTTCATTTTTTGTATAAGTTCTTGGCAGACTTCTCCAATTTGGTCTCAGGTTCCTTGGTCTGGGAAAACTTTTTCTCAATATACTTTTGATTCCTACACTTCCATAACCTTCTTTGTATTTAGGGACCACCCGCATATAAAATGGGGTGAATTTTGGGTGCCAATTGGTGGTATTGGTATACTAACTCTGTAGCCTTTTGGATTATAAGCCTTGACAACCTTTTTAACAACATCTCTAAGTACAGGTAAAATATCTGATCATTCTTGCCTAGTTATTTCTTCAAAAGTGTCAGCATGGTGTTTGGTACACAATGTTACATGAACTTTAGAATTTTGCCTTAAAACCGCCCCAGCAGTTACACTTTTCCCTAGCTCAGAGACTTGAGATTTAAGCATTCCTTTTTTATTTAGTTCCATTTTGTCACACAAATAGCAAATTAGTTCATTCCCTTCTGCACTTTTTGGACAAATATAACTAGGAGTATTATCATCTTTTCAAGTAAAGTGTTCATTTTGTTTACCTCTTGCAATTTGTTGGTGGAAATTATGACTATACATGAAGTCGAAATTAAAACCCCAAAGTTGAAATGTTTTGACTTGAGGCAACTACATAGTAAAAATCAGTTTCAACCTTATTTCGACCCTATTTTGACCAGATCTGCAAATGGTTTCAACTTCATTTATTATTATAGATAAAATCATCGGAAATTCAATGAAAAACATATCAGATAGATTGATGGAATTTTATTTTGATGATGATGATGATGGTAGATTAATTATATAAATAGGAGAGGTGAGTTAAATAGAATGATTTATATTACTACATTCATATATTCATACACATATTTCAAGTATGTATACTTTTTGCATGATATACCCTTACAAACAGACAGATGCTTCAGCTTCACAATCATCAGAACTTGAATGTATTGAAACTACTACCTAAAGCACCTCATTACCTAATGAATACACTCTCACATCTGGTGGTATATCAGCACTAGATGATGATAATCTTATTGTAAATAGGAATTATGTACTGAAAATAATAGCCTAGAAGAAATTATGGACTTGATATTAATGATGGTGATGATGATCAATTGTTGGTGATAATTTTAACAACTACATAAGCTAATATTATCCATGGTCCTATAGAAAGTGAAAACATGACAAAATAAAAGATCCATCTGTTGAAAAGGTATACGGAATTGTCACCAATAGCAATCTGTAGTGTTTTATTGAATGTGTTATAGATGAAAGAGGATAGATCGAAATTTAATATTCATTTGCAGCAGGAACTTTGATAGACTGGAATGAGGAGATAGACTTTTTGGAGAAAGGAGCATGTATAGTTTTAGATAACATTGTTGAAGAAGACAGAAAAATTGATAGTATCAAAAAGATCAAAAAAAAAAAGAGAGAGACTGATTAAATATTATAAGCATTCCACAATGTAAGTTAATTAATTGACAAGTACCAAATTATTATGATTAACAAATAGCCTAAAGTTAAGCTGTAATCAACCATACATGTTAAATAATCGGCATCAACCAAAAGGTCATCTTGTAAAAAATGTATTGAGAAATATTATTATAAGAAAGAAAATAAAAAAAATAATAATTATAATGAATAAATTTATATTGGAGATTAATTAGTCATTCATCAATTCTTTTTTTTTACTATAGGTACTAGAATCTAAAGTTTAAAAAATATTGTTAATTATTAATTTTCAATTAATTAATAATGAAATTTCTATTCACCTTCAGCATTTAAAGAAGAGCATTAAAATCAATATCATCTAATGAACTATCATTACTTGTATAATAATAACCTTTTAAGCTCTTAGATTTAGTAATTTCTTCATCTAAAATTCTACTTGTGTGATATGCATCTGGATGTGATTTGTGTACTTGTTGCAAATCACTACCAGTAGTATTATTACTACTATTATTAAGAATTTCTTCCAATTTATTATCAGCAAAATTTGAAAGCTCATCACTAGTTGGCCTTTTTGATAGATCCACATCCCAACACCTCTGCATCATCTGTGCATAATCATAAGGCATTCCAGATAATATTGGTGGTCGTAAACCATTACATATATCAAAAACCAAACGATGATTGTGAGCTCTACCATCAAATGGTGGATGGCCTGCAAATATTTCCCACATTAACATCCCAACACTATAAATGTCAG